GAGGGAGGGAGTGGGAGAGAATGAAAGGATCTAGTAGAGGCTACAGACAAGGATAACATAATTATTTTATTATATTTCTATATATATATATATATTTGTTTCTGAGCATAAGTGAGGCAAAGCATTCTGTGGACAATTTTTTCTCTTTACCAAGTGATGTGTTTTGCCACGTCTTATATTTTACGTATTTTATTTGTTGAAAAGATATGCTTGATGCTTCTATAGCCAACTAAAATGCCAATAGTTGAGAACCAAATTTTAGGGTTTATTAAAAAAAGAAAAAAAGAAAAAAAAAACCAAAAACCCGAAAAACACACACCTTATATAAATGGTTCACAAGGAAAGTTGCATGACAGAACCTCATCAGCATGTGAACCACAGACATCACATGCTGCATCATCAATGATTAAGTTGTGGTCTCTTTAGGAAAAACAACAATCTATCTATTCATGCATGCCATATTTGATCTTCACGTGATAGGTAGAATAGTAATATTTTGTTTTATATATGAAAATACTATTAGGACATATTATGTTTTGACTCCAATTCCATTTTTTTTTATCCTTTATTAAAAATATACAATAATAATAATAGATAATTATTCTCGTCCATAAAAAAAAAAAAAATAATAAAAAAAAAAAAAAGATCCAAGCCAATTATCTAATCAGTTTAGCAATATTCTTTTTCAAGTACTAACATTTGAAACTCGTGCTCCATTATGATTTCATGAACGAAGCTAGTGTAGGACAATGGTTGTTGCCTCCCCTAAACTTTTGAAAAATGTCAAATATGGTATAGTAACTTATGTTTCTTATAAAATTTTATTTTTGAAGTTTGATTTATAGAGACTATTTAAATATAAAGAAAATATTTAGAATTTGGGAAAGACATTATCTCTCTTTATGACTAATTCTTATAAAAATATGATAATTTTATTTAGTTAAGAATAAATATAGAAAATAGTAAATAACTTAAGGTTTAGTTGTATTAACATAAATTTATATAAGTTTTTGCATTAATTATATATATATTTTTATTATTTATATTTTATTAAACCAAAGTTAATTGATATATATAACCTCACAAAAAAAATTATAATTTTATACTATTTTATTTAACAAT